GTCACAGCAAGGTTCCCTCTCTTATTTTCTTTTTCCCCTTTCTCTTTTCGTTCTCCAACCCTATATAAAGGGGTTTTTCACCATGTAAATAGGATATAGAGAACACTTCTTCATATACTTTTGAGATACATTTTTCAGACGCTCTGTAGATTAGGGTTTTTATGCTTTTCTTATAGTAGAAATATTGTTCTTGCTTCTGGATTTCGCCGAGACAAGTGCGAGAGTGATAGCCGCGCGAATCTTGGTGACTTCCGGTATAGTTGTAATCTTCTTTTCATATTAATAAAGTTCTTTTTCTATTCTCGTTTGTGTTTTAATTGTTCTTCTTCAATGTTTCTGTGTTTTTTTTGTGTTGTTTCATTGAAAATGAATTGAACTCTGATTCTCTGCAATTTTATGATTTCTTTTGGAATTAAATGTCTCCGTAGTGAGCATTTCTCATCGAGATGTCTTCTCGAGACAGAGAAAAGTCCAATGCATAAAAAATTGATTTTGTTCTATGCTTCCTTTCATTTGTTTGTGAATTTTAGATTGATAAATAGGTAAATGAACATTGGTTGGACAAATTAGTGGAAAGAGTCATTTCAAGGTTCTGAAATATGAACTGAATACCCTGGATTGGGATTCACTTAACAGGATGTCTTCCTGAGAACTCTAAGCACTCTTTTCTTCATATCAATATACATTCACCTATGAAATCAATTCTGTTTGTGAGTTTGTTATTTTGCTTTCAATTAATTAGAATTTAGGTACTATTTCTTCATAGTTTAGTTTACTGTTATTTGGAAATGTTATGGATTTAGGACTTATTTTCCTTTAGTTTCTGTTTGAGAAAGTTCAATTTGTGAATGATAATAATGATGTTGATAGTGTAGGTTATTGTTTTTACAAGTGCTTAGACTTTTGATTCATGAGTTTCTTCCCTGATTCTTTGCTTTTGATCATTAGTTCTAGATGTTTCTTGTTGATTTTTTCTTTACCTTAGATTGTACATATGTGTCTGCAACATTTAAGTTCAGTTACTTCATACATGAGTATATTCGTTTAGGTTTTAGGATTTGTTTAGCTTTTAAATTTCCAATTTGAGTTGCTTGTTTACAGTTTTAGTTTTAGGTTATTTTAGTTGCATGTAATTCTCATTGTAGTTTAATTTCTGTTTCTGTTTAGGTAGTTTAGAGTTCTGTTTTCATTTCTTTTCCCCACCTTGCATTAGTAGTTAATAATTAGGCAGTAAATATACAAGACTAAACTCTACATTCTGAAACTTAATCATAGTTGAGTCCTTGGTTATCCCTCTACTACATTAGTGGGGAAACTGAGTTTATTGGCTTTGATGCGACTAAAAGCGAGTTTAACAGATACCATGTTAGAAGTGGACTTTAAGCCTAACTCAACTCTACAAAACCGACTTGTAGGGTGAGGTTTCCAGCCACTTATAAACTATGAATTGGCCTTATCTCTAGTCCGACTAGAGATAAGGCCAATTCATAGTTTATAAGTGGGTGCAAACCTCACCCTACAAGCCGGTTTTGTGGAGTTGAGTTAGGCTTAAAGTCCACTTCTAACAGAAAAAAATCAAAGAGACATATTTGAGATTCACACCCCAAAGAAGAATCTCGCGAATGATTAAACCAAAAAAAGATTATAGATCTCATATAAGAGGTAATGCTTTAGAGCTAGTCTAGCAGATAGAAGTGTCAAAGCAGGCCAACCCGACCCACCATGAGTTCGGGCCGAGTTGGGTTTGAAAAAAATGTATTTCTTTTATGTGGGTCAATTTTCAACCCGGCTCATTTAATCCCGGCTCATTCGTGTTGAACCGTGGTGAGACGAGTTGGCTCACCAACCCATCTAATTTTATTTTATTAATTTATTATCTTATGAAACCCTTAAAAATACTCTATTCACTCTGCTCTTGCGAATATGCTCTGCTCTCACGGTGCTCTCACTTCACTGTTGATCATCCCCAACCCTCCACCCAGGTTAGTTGTTGTTAATTGTCTCATATTTTATTTGGAAAACTCCTTGTATTTCTTAAGACCCCAATCAAGCACACAGTCTTAGCAATTTGAACTACTATAGTTTTATCAAGATTTACTCTAAAACAGTAATCATTGCATTCATGATAAGGGTTACTAGCATTCCAGCAATCGGGATGCACTGCTCGTTTGCCGAACATGTCGTACAGAGAATTTATCCCCTGATCTGTTGCGTTACCGCATAGCAAGCAAACACGTTTTCACTAAAAACCCTAATGAAACCTCTTACTTCAAAAATTGAAAGTGGCAAGTAGCGAAAAGAGAAATTCGAATTGAAAGAACATATATTACAGGTGAAATCAAAATAGAGGAATCTGTTCTTGTTTAATGTTGGGTTCGCACTTTGCTTACTCTTTTGATTTTAGTTGAATAAAATCTGAGTTGTTGACTTTGTCTTGATTTTTTTTTCTTTTCTCTATTGCTTGCTCCAAATTGATAAAACTATAAGACCCTTCTAGTACTTTTTCTTTGAATTGTCTTGAGTTTAACATCATTTTGGGAGTGAAATTTATTTAGATTTGAATGACAAAAAGTTTGTAATTTTAATTCTTTTTATTTAAAAAAAATATAATTAAGTGACCTAGTGAGCCAATCCGTTTAACCACCAACCCGTGGTGGGTCAGATCGAGTTCAAATATTTCTGGTTCGCTAATAAATAAGTCGGGTTAGGTTAGCTCACTAAGTGACAAACTCGTGGTGGACCGAGCTGGATTCGATCGGGTGACCCGTTTTAACAACACTACTAGCAGACTATATAACCTGACCTACGTTAAGAAACTTGATACAATATAGTTTGTGTAACAAGCTATATGAACAAAAAACATTCATTGCGTTTTAACGGTTTATTAATCATAATATATTTTTATTATTTTTTTCTTATCCTTGTTTAGTGCTTGTTAGGCTATATAGTACTCAATATTCATGAGTGTTTTATATATAGATCTTATCAAAATCTTATGCAAGCGATCATACTCGATACTTGTATAGATGATTTCTTAAGCTTATGCTTCAAATCATAAATTACCCTTAATAGATATTAAAATCATTAAAAACTTTGTTAGAAGGTAAATTTTTATACCATACAAATTTTAATTAGACTGTTTAACTTCTCAATAATGCCCCCATACAAATTTTAATTAGAACTCAATAATTCAATGTCCAACACTTCCACATGTCATTAGTTTTAGAAAAACTAACAAAGTGACATGATTTTATCCATTTGAACCTTATTGATAGGATCTCTCATTTGATATGTTTACTTTTAATGCATTCGACGTAAATATCAAAGTTTGTGAATTCAATTTTATGCTTAGTACCACAAGATTATGTATTTAAGAATTCATTATAGAAAATCACTCTATCAAACATATATAAATTATCATTAACAAAAATAATTAGTTCAAACAAAGTTTGAATTTAAAAACAAATATAATGAACATAAATAATTGTTAAAAAAGAACACTAAAATCAAAGAAATTAAACTCGCGTCATAAAATTAATCATTATGAATATATTCAAATAATAGTCTAAAAAAAACACATGGTGAATCATCAATATCAAAACTTTAGATAATTATATTAATTACTAGAGATATTTTGAGATAATTATCAAACGTTAATAATAAAATATGTTTAAATACAAATCCATTTTGGATTAATTTGTGTTTACAAACAAAGTCTTATAACTATCGCATGTTTACACAAACCTATAAACAATTTGGCCAAAAATATTTATTTATCTTAAAAATGATAAATAAAGAAATGTAATAATGCCTGAATTGCTTTAATGCACTTGTACATGCGGCATGAGAAAAGGGTAATGCAGCAAACATCATCCACCGGAACATCGCCATGATCGGTGGTGCCCCGACCCGCGGGTCGCAAAACTCCCGAAAGTGGCCAAGGCAGACCAAAGGCACCACCGAATCCAACATCGATGGTGGACTATGCCTCCTCTCGCTAATACAATAAATTGGATATCTAATCATGCCATTCAATTCAATTCCAATTGGAATTGACATTCATGTAATAGTGCTACATGAATGTACTATGTCCAATGATCTAATCTTTTAAACCATGAATACTAAACCAATTATCACATTTTTTAAAAATTATACAATTAATCATTATAAAAATCATTTTACTTAATATATTTTAGTTTGATAAATTTTTATTTATTATACTTAATTTTAATATATTTTATCTTAATAAACAAAAAGAAAAAAGATTACAATTTATCAATACCCTTAAATGGGACCAACTTTAGAAAAATTATAATTTATTTTGCGGATGGGACAAATCTAACCTATTTCGAAAGCAAACTTTTCCATTGCAATGTACAAAAACAAATTTTAAATTGAAACATGTTCACTAAATTTACATTTTGACCAAGGGCAAAACAGTCAATTGTCGATATTTTGATATGTTTAAAAATTTTGTGGTGGAACCCACAAATTTTCTTTACCATCTTCAGATATACAACCGAAGAAAAACTCTACTTCTGAATTTCATAATCCACAGAATAACTTTTTATTAAGTGAAGACAGCCATGGTAATTGGTATTTATTGGTATTAAACTTATCAATGAATTTTATAAATCTAAAATTTTTCATAAACATTATTAAAATTACATTAAATTAATCTCTTAACTTAGTTAATCCATCTCTTCTAAAAGAGGAAGTAAGCTTTCCACATTAAAGAAGATATAAACATCTGAAGTAAGCTTTCCAATACAATAACTAATATTTCAGTATAACCCTAAAAATACAACTTTAATTTTCTGATTAAATAACTAAACATTTCACTTCCAAGCTCTGGAGCAAAATTTGGAAGAAGAATTTGTACTGAGTGTAGTTCAGAGCTCATCCTAACACAGTTGATCCCTGCTAAATAGAACAAGGATGATTGCAAAGCCCTGCACATTAACTTTTAATCCATACAAAAGAATCAAACCAAAAAAAAATTCACTCAAAAAAACAATTTATAGAGGAACAACAATGTTTCTTAGTACATTCTTTTTTCTTGGAAAGGTTTATTACTATATCTTACATCTTCATTAAAGTAGCTATCAGAGGGAAATCTGAAATACTATACTAACCAAGCCTTTTCATGCAGCCAAGAGCTTCTTGATGCCTGCTTTTTGCTCATCAGTGAGCCTAGTTGGAAACTTGATGTTAAACTTTATCCTCAAGTTTCCCTTCTTTGATGGATCTTTTGGAAGTGGCATGCCTTCTCTTGTAACAACCTCTTCATAACTGGGATGAATAACATTGCTGATTGGTATGGTTAAGTTTCTACCATCCAGAGTGGTGAGGTGCACTGTATAACCAGTTAAGGCCTCTGCAAGGGAAATCTTCTGCGTTACAACAAGGTCATTTCCGTCACGGGTGAAGACCCCGTGTGGCTTTTCGTCAATGATGAAGACGAGATCGGCCGGCGTCAAATTTGGCTGTTCATTTCCCTTTTCAGGGAAGGTGATCTTTGTTCCCTTCTTCCAGCCAGGCTTCACATTAATGGTTAAGATCTCTTCCACTGGCATGGTTTTGCTGCACCACAAGAGAAAGAATCAGTCATCACACTTAGACATAATGAAGTTTAACAGAAAACTATCACAACAAAAAAAGGAAACTAAAAGCACATTCTAATTAAACAGATAAGAGCATTTGATGATCAAAAGGAAAAGAAATAATAGTTTAGTGTGCCCTGCCAAGTTTTACAAGAATAATCCTTAATGCCAATCATTAAGTTCATACTATAATGGAAATATTTTGAGTAAAATTTCTATATCTAAGTTCTAAACTGGATAAACTATGCAAACTTAGTTGTTTCGTTACAATATGTACGGACTAAGGGGCATTGCTAATAAGAATGTATAATGAAACAGTTGTTCAGATCAGGTTTTATTCATAAATAAATTTTGTTGTGTTAGCGTAACAAAATATCGACAGAATGACCATATAGAATAGAAGTTCAGCAATTTGCCAAACACCTTCTCACTTGTTAGATCATTAACCCTCATTATTTCAAGCTTACATTCCATGAAGTCATATTACTAGGAATAACTAAGTGCCAAAAATATGTAATGAGTTGAAATAGAACACCAATATAACATTCACCACCACCACCACCCATCTAATGCCTACCAATCACAGACTAACTGATGTAATTTTTATTTATTTAGATTCTAGAAATTAAAACCTAGTAAGTTCTGTATATACCTTTGCAAACTAAAGCATTGTTTCAATTCACCTCTGAACCATCAGTAAACAATTAAATAATGTCTAGGAACACATATCAGAGGTTGTACAAACTTTGCAGTGCAGAAAGGATATGCTTCATAATGTTTCAAAGTACAAGTGTCTTCTAATATTCCAGTAGCTATTAAAATAGGTTTAGAACGTAGTTATCAATGTTCTTCTTTAAACAAAGTTCAAATGGCACAGAATAACAACTTTCAAACAACAAACAGTTTATGCAGTAAACATTGTGTTAACTAAACAACTTTCACTCATGGCTTGAACATAGCATACAGAAGGACAGCCAATTATCAAGCTTTGGTTAACAATCTCACGTCAAGCACTCAAAACAAGTGAAAATAGTATATTGCAATCATGTAAACAAGTGAAAATAGTATATTGCAATCATGTAAACAAGTGAAAATAGTATATTGCAATCATGTAAACAAGTGAAAATAGTATATTGCAATCATGTTTTAGTATCAATTATATGCTTTTACAAAAACCCCAGATTGAAAGCTCGCCCATTTCAGTCATGCACAAAATTGTGCATATCAGAGATCATACCACATACAAGACAACAAAAACTAAGAAAACCAGAAGATCCTCAAATATAGGAGAAGAAATAGTCAGGTATTAACATGTACTCACCCACTGGCATCAGCAATTTCTCTAGAGATATTCATCTTCTTTGTAGTTCCTCTATATATCTCCTCAAGAGTGCAAGGCAACTTGTTCTCAATGGGAGGAGCTTTCCGAGGAGCACCTTGACTCATATGTACTGTTCCATCCCCAAAAGATGCAAACATATCATCACCGAACATCCCACCAGGGAACCTTGATCTCATGCCTCCGCCGCCGCCGCCGCCGCCACCTCTCCCACCCATTCCTCCAAATGGGCTTGAGAAGCCAAAAAATTCTGCAAAAATATCATCTGCATTCCTTGGATTGAACCGAAAAGATCCGGGAACATCTCCAGTGGAAAAGTATGTAGTTCCAGCACCACCAGCATCAGGAGGAGGAACCTGACCTTTCAGACCCTCTTCTCCATATTGATCATAAATAGCTTTCTTTTGAGGATCGCTAAGCACCTTCAACAATAACAAGGTAAATAAAGTAAGCATCACCCTCCAGACAAAAAAATCTTTTTAGTGAATTCCATTGTTTATTCATAAAAGCATAAAATTTTGCATGAACCCTTGTTGAAAAACCATGGAAGCACAATGACATAAAGAAAAATTAGCATCACCATATGAAATGTTTCATCTGTGTTTCACTAATTACTTCTAATTTCAGGAAAGACAAACTCAAAAATTTGGGACATCTTAGAGAAAAATGTTTGAAATCATACTAGATTAAAAAAAGTAAACATAAGCCAGATGAAATATTTCATTGGGTTTCATTATTCCACTCCTAGTTCCACAAAAAGTTAAAAATTTACAACACCATTATGAAAACATACCTCGTATGCTTCGGAAATCTGCTTAAACTTAGCTTCGGCTTCCTTTTTGTTGTTGGGGTTTTTATCCGGGTGCCATTTCATAGCAAGTTTCCTGTAAGCCTTCTTCAAGTCATCGTCTTTGGCGCTTTTATCAACCTGCAAGATCTTGTAGTAATCCACACCCATCTTTGACCGCGAAGGTGTTTGTTCTTCTTCTACCCTCTTTCTCTTCAGTTTTGCGGTTGTTGCACAATCTTTCTGTGAAGTTATGCTCTATCTCACTTTGACAACTCAGAATTTGTTCTTAGATTTTGAGTTTGAGGTTGATGATATGGTGAAAAGATATGTTTAAATCATCAGGGTGTTGAAGCTGGTGTTCTACAGGTGTAGTAGCATCTCGATTTAGGTGGAAGGTTCGAGAAACCTACACGATTTTCTATTTCTAGGCTCTTTCAGAAAAATGGTTGATTTTTGTTTTTTAAGAAAATATTTAATCAATCTGATTTTTTTAGTATCTTTGAGAGAAATTAACATCTTTTCTGAAAAGTATTATTCTCTTGAAGAAATTAATATTATTTGTGAAAAGTATTTATCTTGTAGATTATTATTTTCCTTGATTTTTAATATACATTTTCAAAAACAATTTTATTTAATTATTTTTGTAAAATTAAACGCAATATAATTCTTTTTAATGATTTATTTTTTATTTTTCATACTATTTAATTAATTTATTTCATGATATAAAAAATGATATATATATATATATATATATATATATATATATATATAAACAAATTATTACATTTCTCACTTTGGTAAACAACATTAAAAATACTAAAGAAAGATAAAAAAAATAAGAGCATTAAATAATGGAATTAATTTTTCAACTCAATTTTACAAAAATAATTTTGATTTAGGTGGTTTCTTGTGTCTTTGTGTAAAAATTTATTTATGACACACTGTTTGGTTTAATTCTTTTAATGTTTGATATAATTAAGTTGATGCAATTAAATATGCACTTAAATTAATTCTAACAGCAAAGTTTATATTGAAATGCATGTTGAGTGTTTTCAAACATTGATTTATGTTTTAAGAATTTTTACTGTGAAGGTTTAGCTGCACATATATTCTATTATTTTATTGGGATAATTTTTTTAAGACAAAAAGCATTTTTTTTATTAGAAGTGGTGTGCCTTAATATGAATATAATTGTTATAAATCACTAAAGGACAAATAAGTGCATACCAAATGATAAAAAAATCAATAAGTTAATGTATAAAAATAAAAAGTAATTAATTACATTATTATTTTGTTAATTAAGAAATTATGTAGCCAATCTTAAATAAAGAAATTGTATTGTTGTGCATTATTTAAAATAATAGAGTTATTTTAAAGTAATGACAAATAATTTTATCTAATTAATAATTATAAAAAAAATATTTCTTCTTTATATATTGGTATAAATAATGATTAAGACATTTTTATTTTTATTTATTCTATTTATCATATATATATATATATATATATATATATATATATATATCTTAGTTGATAGATTTTAAACTATTATATTAATTAAAATTTAAAAAATTAAGGCTTTAATTATTTACAGTTAGAAAACAATTTATGTTTTCTACTGGGGTTAAATATGTTTTTAGTCCCTGAACTATCAGACGATTTTGTTTTTAGTCCCTGCTCAGAACTTTGATGGTTTTTAGTCCTTATAGTTTTGAAACTCTGAGTATTAGTCCTTAAAAATGGACGGTGTTAAGTTTTTGTGGATGTGGCAAACGGCGATGCCACGTGATCACTGATCTCTGCCTTCACTCTCTGCCACGTGGGATGTTTAACTCTTGAACTGAGTATTGGTAAAGGTACCAGGAGTGTGCCTTCCAGCAATGGCATGAGCACCAGTGTACTGGGCAAACTTGAGAACCGCTCTCTGACCATAAGGCCGAGCAGATTGCACAATAATATCCTGAGGGTTCTCAATTGCAACGATAACCCTAGCAGCAAGTTGAAGCTTCTCCCATGTCTTACCAAGGTTGATAATATAAATACCTAATACCAAATCCACACCACAACAAATCAAAACCACATTGCGCTCCTGTAGCTATTGCAGATTCAAAATTGTATAACACAAGGCTGTTGTCTATTGTATAACGATAGAGATAATATAAAAATGTTAGTTACCATCGTTGCGGCGCTTGAAGAGCGCTCCATTTGAAAATCACAATTTTTGGTGCCGAGGTGAACGTCGGCTGCCAACATCATCTGGATGTCGGCTTCCTTTTGAGAGAGCTGGCGCGGCGGGGCAGCGGCGTTGGTTGTGGCGGCCATGGTTACCTCTCGCAAGCTCCCAAACAAGAGCTTGAAAACCTTAGTGTTTCTGACTACAGTAAATAACCTCAGTTCAAGAGTTAAACATCCCACGTGGCAGAGAGTGAAGGCAGAGATCAGTGATCACGTGGCATCGCCGTTTGCCACATCCACAAAAACTTAACACCGTCCATTTTTAAGGACTAATACTCAGAGTTTCAAAACTATAAGGACTAAAAACCATCAAAGTTCTGAGCAGGGACTAAAAGCAAAATCGTCTGATAGTTTAGGGACTAAAAACATATTTAACCCTTTTCTACTGATAAAGTACATAATATATAGTATAAATATTTAGTTTAGGTAAGTTTAGATGTATGCATTTTAATTGAATTTGGTAGTTTTCAAAATCTGTTCTCCAACATCTTCAAAGGTATGATTTAATTCAAAACTATTTTAGAGGTATCACTAAAAAGTTGCCATGGCTTGTGAGAAAAATTGTGATATGATCTCATGGGAGATCTTTAGCTAATGCATATGGAGTTACTTTGAGAGATTTTACATTACTGAGATAACACGAGCTATCAAAATTTCTAAACAAAAAAAATGAAGTTATTTGATGACCTAACTATTTTTAGAAGAATACATGTTATGTTATACTTGTCCCAAGATGATAACCACTCATATGAGGTAGAAGAAAATGTAACTATCAACATGAAAATGAAAGAAAATTAAAACTTAGAAGTTCAAAATCATAAAATAACAAATAAATAAGAAATACAACATCATAAATAAATCAAAACTAAAATAACTAAAAAATTATGAAAAATCACAAAATTACAAGTAAAATGAAAATCAGAAAACTACAAAATTACGTTTACAATTTTTTTTTTCTTACCATGACTTTTAATGTCACTTCTGTAAAGACTTGTATGAGGAAAAAGAAAATATTTGACTTGCAAAAGAGGGAAATGAAGAAAGAAAGGGAAAAGTTGAGTTGTGAAATGGGAAGGAAAACAAGAAGAAAAAGACTCTAAAAGATTGTGAATAGAAAGTTTATATCCTCAGTGAAAGAAAAAGAAAAGATTGAAAAGTAAAATTATTGTCGACCTCAGATATTAGAAAATTATGTTGAAATATGCACATCTGCCAAGACTATTTCTATATAGGGTAGATTCACATGATAAAATGCTATTCATTTAGAAAAAAAGAGAGTTCTTCTATATCAATTTTTTTATAATTTATTGTAAAATCAATCATTTTAACCATATTGTAAAATTAGGTGTTTCAATGTGTAGCGTTAATCGTTTAATTTTTCAATGATTGTTTGTCCAAATGCTATTATTCCAAATTTAATTCATGTTTGTCTATGTTCACCAAAGATATTTATCAAAGATTATTCTACATGAAAGTTAATTTGGTTTCGAAAGAAAAGTAATAAATATATAATTAACTAATTATTTACAATCTTACTTTGGATTTATAATTTTTGTAAGGTCTAAACTACACTAGTCTTAATTAGAAAATCAAAATAGTATTATGCCTTAAATCGTTTTTTCTTATTCCTAGTAAAGATATAATCTTGGTCTTTGAGTTAATTATAGTAGAAACCACATGTTGATTAAAGAGTTGACTGTTTGGCTAACTTATTGACTAAACAAAACATACTATACAATATGTATTTATATGAATCTCATTCTACATTAAAGGTCTCACATTGACATGAGATTCTTCTATCAATAATCATTTTATATACCTTCCATGTTTTACACTTTTATTACTTTATTCGCCAAACATAAGTATCATGTCACCTTCATTAGAGTCTTTTTTCTTTTACTTGATCAATTAGACTTGATAATATTCAAATGGTTTAATCATTCCCGAGGTCCCTATTTGGGATTGAAATCTCAAATTGGTCCCTTTCTTTTTTTTTTTGTTCCAATTGGGTTTTTATTTTGTTAAAATTGCAACAATTAGACCCGTTAAATTAGACTAACAACGTTAGTGTTATATTCACGTGACATGCTGATGTTAGTGTTTTAAATGATGTGACTCATGTTATAAGTAAGTCTGACGTGGAATTTTATTTTTTTAAATTAAAAAAATTGGAAAAAGTTAATTAAACAAACTTGTTTATGAGAATTAGAGATTTGGTTTTAGGGTTCATTCACAAAAATTTGGGAATCAAGAGAAATTGGGAATTTGGTTTTAGGGTTCATTTGGCTTTAGGGTTCAATCACAACAAAAATTTGGGAATCAATCAGAAAATTTGGAGATTTGGTTTTATGGCTTTGGATACGCGAGGGTTTCGCAGATTAAATCGTGATGGTGACACGATTTGGGATTCTAGAGTTTCTGCTAGTCTGTGATTTGGTTTTCTACAGGTTGAATCGCGAATAAGAGGCGATAATGGACGCTAGCTTCGCAAATTGGTCTCGCGATTTGAGAGCTTTTTTGTGATTAGAAATTGGGGATTCAATTTGGAAAAGTAAGGCTCATTCGTAGAATACAATCAAATTTACACAAAATATGTAAGCATACATATCAATATCTCTCTTGCCTCCATCAATTAAAAAAAGAATATGGTAAGGAAATACCACTTCTTCCACCAAACCAGTACACTGAGCTTTGAGGATTTCCTTGGAAGAGCTCTCAGTTACAGGTGAAGCATACACAACTTCAAAAACAACCAAGGCAAAGTTGGGTTTCTCTAGACTTCTTTCAGTGCTTTAAACATTAACCCTGCTGGCAAAAGAGCAAAGATTTGGATTCTTTTCCTTGCAGTTTTCAGTATGGACAATTCTAAGCACTTGATTAATTCCAGATTCAATTATCTGTGGTTGAATCCCGTCCTCTAGCCAAAAGTTAACATCTAGAGAAACCTAAAGAAAGTAAGGAGGAGATTCGGCTCCTTGTGTAAGTGATTTCCAGTAGTTAAAAAAGCTTCTAATTTTGATTTAGCATATCCCATGCTCTATCTTGTCAATTATCCGTGATGAATACCTCACAATTTTTCAATATCAACTGCGAATGAACCTTACTTTTTAAAATTAAATCCTCAATTTCTAAAATTGATTTTCAATTTTTATGAATCCTAAAATAAAACTT